ACTGCTACCTGTGCGGCCGCTGCCTGTGTGGCTCCTACCTGTAAGGTTACTACGAGTTGTAAGGGTGCTGCCAGGAAAGCGGCTGCTGGGGGGTTGACTGTCAGCACGAGTAAAGCTGGTGCGGCTACTCCCTATGCCACTGCTGCTGCCAAAGCCCCTGCTACTGCCGGTGGTAACAGTGGTGGGGGTGGTGGTGGTAACCAGACTAGAGCTGGCGTTGATGCTGTCGGGAGGATCAGCAGCAGCAGCAGCAGGAGCAGCAGACAGGGGGGCAGCCGAAGGGAGAGTAACAGAAGAAGGAAGAGAAGAAGGAGGAGGAGAAGGTTCCCATGACGAGGTGGTGGAAAACGGGGATGAGGGTATTGCATCGAAACGCCCCTCAATTTCCGAGCTAATCGGTCCACTTCTTCCCCCTCTACCACCACCACCACCGCCACTACCGAAACTACCACCTGCTCTTGCCCCTCCACCCCTCACTCCCCCCTCCTCTCCTACTCCGTCACTTGAGTCAAACCCCGTTATAAGCACATCACCGCCTCCTTTAAACCGGCCCATATCCGTTCCAGACGCGGTTCTTTGCTTGGTGAACCGTCTCACACCCTTCCCCTCCTCTCCTTCCGATTCAGACATCGCCGCAAGGGGGTCTAGAGCGTACGGCGAGGTGGACGGGGTGGGGCTAGAAACCCTAAATGGGGAAGTTCCCCCGGAAAGTGTGAACGAGCCTCCGGGGGTGCCGGGATACGAGGCCAGAGCGGACAATTCGCCTGATTTACCCTTCGATATCCCATCCGCCTCTCCTACATGCGCGGAAAGCGCAGAAAAGTGAGGATTCCGCTGCGAAATGCTTCCCCCTTCGGAAGGGACTCCCCCTGCTGCTCCGCACCTTACCCCCCCTCCGCCTCCTCCGTCCCCCCCGCCGAATGCGCCTTCCCCCGCACCTAGAAGCGCCGCCGCGGCAGCAGCAGCCCCGGCGGACGAGGCAGAAGCGGCGGCGGGTGCAGCGGCGGGGCACGTGAGGGTGAGGGGGAGCGCGACGGATTCGATTTGCGCCGACTCTAGGCGCTGCACGACCGCGCGCCAGTCGCTGAGCGGGAAAGGCGCGGCCAGGCGGAGAAGAGACGTCTGGGGAAGGCGGAAGGGGGATGAGAAGCGGGAGGAAAGCGGGAGAGGAAAGGCAGTAAATACACAGGAGGGGGAGCAGAAGGGGGGAAGGGAGTGAGCGGTGGGGTGAGGGGGGAAGATGGGGAATTCAACTTCAGCTCTCAATCATGGGTGGATGGCGTAGGTAGTGGAAAGCCGTTGCTGCGCGGCGAAAAATGGAGCATTCGGGGCGCGGAGGAAAAGGATTGAGGAGAATTACTTCTGGTTTTATTTTGCAAACAAAAATACAAGCAAAAAAACAAACAAACAAACAAACAAAAGCCGAAAAAGGGGGGGGAGGGGCATAACGGGTTTCACAAATTTTAGAATTCCGGTCCACATAAATCGAGAACCAAGGGGGGACGTCGAATCACGACGTACCGGGAGGATATGCGCTGAAACATTGGGTGATCGATAGCAAGCGAGGAATTCGCTATATCTTAAAGCCAGCGGCGAACGCATAGCCACCGTCACAAATGCCATACATTCGAGGACGCCACAAGAAAAAACGAAACGGAAAAAAAAATGGAGAAATAACAAAACAAAGCAAAAAAAAAAAGACTGCAACAGAAAACGCAAGAGCCAGACAAACGGAGGTGCAGACCCACCGATAGCAGCTCGTCGCGCGAGTAACCGAGCGCCCTGACCGCTCCTTTACTCGCGTGGATGATCGCGCCGTCGCCGGGCCGCAGCACGAACTGCACCGAGTGCGAATGCCCCACCACTATTCCCATCGTCGACATCCCGGCGACCTCTGAATCTCGACCCGTGTGCGTTGACAGTATAGTCGGTCTCTCAACATAATTTACTGTCGACATTTCGGCAACTGTACTCACTCGATCCTCCAACTTGGAGTCAATCAGAACCCTGCTATTATTATGACCATTTATGCTAGTACGATAACTCAAAGTATCGGATAAACTCTTATCTTCATTGACACTAACGGGTGTGACAGTTGCGCGCGGGGACGCGAACGAGGGGATTCGTGGACGGCCTGCTGCCGGGTCTAATCGGAGCGCCGTTGGACGAAGACGCTGTTGGGGAGGCCGGCCGCTTGGCCGCGCGCTGCTGTCGCTCCTCCTGCCGCTGCTGCGACTGTTGGTTCTGCTGTTTCTGATGCTTTTCCTGTTGCTGCTGTGAGGCTTTCGTGCGAGAGAATATGCCGGTTGAAGGAGCCATGGCGAAGGCCTGACAAGAGAGGGTCAAGCAGATGGAACTGCCTGAGGTTAAAACTAAGTGTAGATACTTCAAACTCTTATGGGTTGTTAAGATCAGCAAATGACAATGCTACGCCCTTGACACAAGTTGTACAAAAAAAACAGCGACTGGGACTGAGGACGACAGAGGCGGTGTGACGGGGGATGCATATGGTACACAAGTGGAAAACAAGCAAACCAGACGAACACAACAAAGCTGCGTTGACATTGCCAAGCCAAGCCACACACAGCTGAGGGCACTTGGAAAGGCGAGTCGGAACACGGAATAAATTGAGTTTTTAGTTCGGAAGGATGAACAAGACCTAGCGGGATGAGATAAAATTGAGACATTCTGTTGCTGTTCTACAGTAACAAGACAGTTCATGTGAGTCCAATAGTCAAAGTATCTTCGATAAATGGTCCGTCCTTGGGACTTCGTCCGGTGGCCTGACGACGAGCAAGCGGGGTGTGTTCCAAGACAAACTCGTCCATCTGGGACATTCATCAGTATGGACTCTGAAGTGAATTGTTGGGAAACACGAGAAGAGTCTGCTCCACACTCTAAAGGCTAGTCGCAACCGCGTGGAAGACTTGACCGTGAATACGGTGTAGCCAAGATCTGCTAAGACTTGTTTTGTTTCAGATCTAGTATACCTGACTATCGACATATGAAATCCCTGTGAAAGGGATTTTGTCGATAAAGTGTAACGGCTGTGGTCCCTGTCTCATAAAGCCTCAGCTGCAGCACATCAGGATCGCGGATCTCCCGTTGGCGGATTTCGGGGATTGCGCCATCCCTCAACCGCTGACGAAGATCCCATATGATCACGGCGTCAGGGACGTTGCGAAAGGTGCCTGGACCCAATCGCTTTGTTCACGAATGAAGGGTTTCTATGGGCGATGTTCGCAGAGGTCCTCCTTCACTAGGTTACCAGCGTTCGTTGCATTTCTGCTCGTTGAGGGGAGTTGCGTTGCTACGTGTGAGGGAAAGGGTGCTGTCGAATCCAAAGCACAGAACTTGAGTCTGTTCGCCGTACTGTAGTTAGGGCGGGTCACGGTTTTACGTACCAGGTTCGTTTAAAGCGGTCAAGTACGGTTGAAGACGATTCTGAGTTTTTACCGATGCAAACCGTTTGTTTTTTTATGTTTTATCGTACTGAACCGCATGAAACGAATCAGGAACAATTTTGCAACCACCAGAAATTCGCAGCGATCGCACGTTCGCAACTGTGTCAACTCACCCTTCTAGCTCCCATTCTTTCCGCGGTAGTGCCGCCTTTATCTCCGCACCGCCATCGATATCGTCACCTGCACCATCGTACCATCATCCTTACAAACGCATTTATCTCCCACCATCGATATGGTTTCGGCAAAAAGGCCGACGCCCGACACACAGGAGTAAGTCTCTTTCATGGCTCAAGTGGGACTCGAAGAGCGATTCGTTCGTTTCCGCCAATCTCTGAGTAATAATCGTCGTTTTCCGTCAGACTCCCTGAGCAGTTCGTTCTTTTCCGTAAAGTTTTGAGTGAAATTCTCGCAATGTTGCTGTCGACGAGTGTTGCTGCGATCTAATAGCAGCGAGAGAGATGCAATCTCTCAACCTCCGACGTTTGAGGCACCTCATAAATCGTCTAGATTCCCAATTAGTATCACATGTTAGCCCCCCCACTGCTGATTCATGGAATCGAATTGTCGTTCTCGTTAATGTCTCCATATCTCATCCTGAATGCGACCAGTTCCCGCTTATTGCCACCTATTTTTTTCGAATTGCCACGAGTTTTTTTCTAACTGCTACAACTTTTCCCTAATAGCCACCGAATTTTCCTAGAAGCTATCAATATTCTCCATGTGCTACAATTTTTTTCCAAAAGCTACCAATGTCCCCTAAGTACTACCAATTTTCCCCACACACCGATTCACCAGAAATGCCACCATTTTCGCAACGCTGTGGTTTCCACCCTTTCTCGCTACAGGATGGTCTCCATATCACTTATAGACATCAGGAAGGAGCTACAGTGCCCCATATGCCTTGGTGAGATCTACAGTGCCCCATATGCACATTACTTCTTTTTTTTTTGTCAATTAGGGTTCAGCTTTTCTTCTGAACTGTTACATTTTTGCATACATTACTATACATATATGTATTCACTGAGTTAATGAAAGGCATCTGCAGCCCACCTGTCCACGTTAGACAACTCATACGTATACATACGTATAGTTTCTAGGAACTCTGAGTCTATCCTCAGTCGGTGTTACCCCGTGTTTGCGGTTTCTGCATGGCTCGAGTTGCACTCGTGGCGGTCTCCCATTGCTCGACAGGGATCATCAGGCGGACACGCACAGTGATGGAGTGCTTGCACCGCTTCTGTGGGGACTGCATCGACAAGGCCATCAGGCTCGGGTGAGATGCACGTCAGGCTCGGGTGCGAAGGACGTCAGGCCCGGGTGAGGTAACGTCAGGTTCGGGTGAAATGGATGTCAGGTTCGGGTGAAATGGATGTCAGGTTTGGGTGAAATGGATGTCAGGTTCGGGTGAGATGGTAGACAGGGATCATCAGGCGGACGCGCACGGTGATGGAGTGCTTGCACCGTGTCTGTGGGGACTGCATCGACAAGGCCATCAGGCTCGGGTGAGAGGGACGTTTGGCTCGGGTGCAGTGGAGGTCAGGTCAGGTTCGGGTGAGATGGACATCAGGCTTGGTTGTCATGGAGGTCAGGCTCGGGTGAGATAGAGGCCTGGCCCAGCCTAAGAAAGGTCAGGTGAGATGCAGGCTCGGTTGAGATGAGATGCAGGTTTGGGTGTGATGGAGGTCAGGCTTGGGTGAACTTCAGGCTTAGGTCGGGTTGGTTGGGATTCAGGCTCGGATGCAATGATATCTGAATTGAGATAAGGCAAGGTTAAGACTAAGGCGAAGGGTGGGACGAAGGCGAAGGTGAGGTGGAGGAGGGTTGGGGGTGAGGTGGAGGGTCGGGTTAGGTGGAGGATTGGGTGAGGTGGAGAATTGGGTGAAGTGGGGTGGAGGTCTGGTTGAGGTGGAGGTTTGGGTGAAGTGGAGGGTTGGGTGAAGTGAGGTTTGGGTGAGGTGGAGGGTTGGGTGAGATGCAGGAAAGGTTGAGATGGTGTCTTTGTCTTCATCCCTCTGATTCGTTATAGCTCATGTAGAGTTGTTTTTTTTTTGTAACTTTCAATGGACGGTTAAGAACCGCCCTTCTCCTCCACCTCCCCCTTCCCTCTCTCCCCCCCCCCCCCCCCCCCTTCCCCCCCCCCCCCGCCCATGCATGCAGCAACAACGAGTGCCCCTCGTGCCGCGCGCACTGCGCCAGCAGGCAGTCACTGCGCGCCGACCCGCGTCTGCTGACTTGACAAATAGTACCACACTACCCCATCGCTCTCCCCGCCACCCCACCTCCATGCAGCAACAACGAGTGCCCCTCGTGCCGTGCGCACTGCGCCAGCAGACGGTCACTGCGCGCCGACCCGCGATTTGATGCGCTGGTGGCTGCTGTGTTCCCCAACAGAGACAGGATCGAGAAGGAGGTGGGTGGAAGGGGTGATGCTAAGAAGCAGGAGGGCTCTGTGAGGGGGTATCTGAGGGGTCGGTTCAGTGGAATGTTGTAATATCTTGATTAACAGCATAAATTGGCTGGAATGGTAAGTGTGTGATCTCTCCTCGCTTGCTCGTTTCTCTCACTTTCTCCCTCCCTTGTCTCACGTTGTTCGGGAAACGACACTGCATATAGAAGAGGCCAGGCGCAATGAAGATGCCAGCTTTTGAGTCAACTCAAACCCACTCCCTTTCTAAAACTCTCTCCCTCTCGTCCTCTCTTCCTCGCTTTCTTGCTCCTGCTCCCTCTCTTGCTCTCCTGATGTTCATTAAAACCGGAGTCCCAAACAGCCCAAAACTGCCTCAACCTTCCTAACTTTGGCTGGGGGTTATCTGGTAGATGACAGTCAACTTCGTGAAGTGTGGGAACGATTTTGACGATCCGAAATCACTGTACTAGCAACGACCACAGCAGTTACGATTTCGCCCAATGAAGTTGCTGTAAATCCGAAATTCGATGCGAAGGGGTTCACGAGTTGCATTCGGGATCTGGTAACCCTCGCGACAGTATATCACTCAGCGAGCTGTGGCTTCCAGTTTTGGCACTCACCCTAGTTCGCGAGCCAGTTGCGGCTCTTTTCCCAACCAACCTTCCTAACTTTGAAACCTATGAGACTCCGGTTTTAAACGTGACACGGCATACAGAGGAGGCCAGGCACAATGAAGAGATCAGATTTCAAGTAAACTCATAAGCCACCTCCCTCTCGTCCTCTTTCCGTCACTTACTCTTTCACTCACTCGTCTCCCGTTGTTCAGGAAATGGCATTGCATACAGAGGAGGCCAGGCGCAATGAAGAGGTGAGCTTACTCCTCTCAATCTTAGTGACCCATCCTTCCCTTACGTTACGTCCCATCCTACTCCCCCCCCCCCCCCCCCCCCAATCTTCCCCCCGTACTTCCCCATCTCCATCTTCCCCCCGTACTTCCTCCCCCCCATCTTCCCCCGTACTTACCTATCCCCATCTTCCCCCCGTACTTCCCCATCCCCATCTTCCCCCCGTACTTCCCCATCCCCATCTTCCCCCCGTACTTCCCCATCCCCATCTTCCCCCCGTACTTCCCCATCCCCATCTTCCCCCCGTACTTCCCCATCCCCATCTTCCCCCCGTACTTCCCCATCCCCATCTTCCCCCCGTACTTCCACCCCCCCATACTTCCCATCCCCATCTTTCACTTAGTCTCTCCCTTGTTCTCTGCCTCCCCCTCCCGTGTGCCTTGTTCGTTCCTCTCGTCCCGTTCTTCACAACACTTCAGCTCACTATGATGACCAACGTGTTTCCTCGTTGCGCAAACCCCCTTAGATAAAGAGGTGGCTTTGAGTCGACTAAGTGACTTTTGAGTCGACTCAAAAGTCTCATCCCGTTCTTCACAACACTTCAGCTCACTATGAGGACCAATGTATTTCCTTCTTGCGCAAGCAACTATGAATTGAACGTAGAAATGGCACCACCACCACACCACCATCACCACCACCACCACTCCCTGTCCTTTTCACGTTCAACTCCCATACATGGCCTGGTAACTCCGCCCTTTCCCTCCCTGTTTCTCATTTTCTTTAGTCGACTCAAAAATTCGACTCACAAAGTAGATTCAAAAGTCGACTCGAAAGCCATCCACGTCCAGGCAACTCCGCCCTTTCCCTCCCTGTTTTTTTTGTATCAGAGGCGCATTAAAGAGGAAATTTCTCGCCGCCAGGCTCAAAGTTTCTGAGTCGACTCGAGTGAACTCAAAACCCCTTCCGTGGTTACCTTCCCTAACCTCCTCCCTCCCTCCCTCCCTCCCTCTCTCTCTCCCTCCCTCCCTTCCTCCCTCTCTCTCCGCATCAGTTCCAAAGGCGCATAAAGGAGATCTCTCGCCGCCAGGCGCAAGTCTTCAACCGCCGTCGCCCCCCCTCCTCCTCCTCTCTCTCCCTTGCTGCCCCTGATGCTTCTGATGCTGCCAATGGTGGTGATGCTAGCGCTGCTGCTACCAGTAGTGGTGAGGTGAGGTATAATACCAACACCACCACCGCCACCACCACCACTGCTGCTGCTTCTGGTAATGACCTTGGTGCTGCTCGTGTTTGCACTGCTATCAAGAAAAGGAAACGAGACGAATCAATGTTGGGAGGCTCAAGTGGGAGTCAGAGCGTTGGTGGTAAGAGTGGTGTGCCTGGTGGCGAGTGGAGTAAAGAGAGGAGGAGAGTGAGGATGGTGGGGAGTTGTGGAGAGGAGGGAGAGGAGGAGGAGGAGGAGGAGGAGGAGGAGGAGGAGGAGGAGGAGGAGGAGGAGGAGGAGGAGGAGGAGGGGGAAGAAATTGGGGGAGGAGTGAAACACGAGAAACAGTCAGTGGAAAGGACAGAGACGGAGGAGGAGGGAGAGGAGGAGGACGAGGAGGGAGAGGAGGAGGGAAGGAAACTAGAACCTGAATCAGAGGGGGAGGAATGTTTTCAGAAAGAGGAGGAAGAGGAGAAGGAGGAGGAGGACGAGGAGGAGGGGGTGGAGAGGGAGAAGGAGGAGGATGAGGAGAAAGAGGGGGGAGAGGATGAGGAGATGGAGGAGGAGGAGGTTATAGTGGTCACTGCAGCAGTGCAGAGGAAACAGAAGCGGTCTGCTAAAGCAGGAGAGCAGAGGGGACAGAAGAGGGGATTCAGAGATGAGAGAGAGGTGAAGGGAGAGAGAGAAGATTTCAGCATGGGAGCTGGCGAGGGTAATATGGGAAGAAAGAAGGTGAGGCAGGGGGGAGTGAGAGACGCTGGGATGAAGCATGGTCGGGGACAGCATAGGGGGTCAACAGCAGCATCAGCTATAGCAGGAGCAGCAGCAGCAGCAGGAATAGCAGGAGTAGCAGCAACAGCAGCAGCAGAAGCATCACTAGCTTCAAACGGTCGTCGCATGCACCTGCCGACAACAGCTGAGCTGGCATCAGCAGTCCACGTGGCACCTGCACTGCCAGCTGGCACCCGGGGCGAAGCAGCAGCTTCGGCCCGAGCAGGAGTAGCAACAGGAGGAGGACAGGCAGGGAAGAACGTAGAGGCTGGAAGCGGCTTGCAGCCACTGCAGGTGCAGCCCAGGGCGATCCGCTGCCCCCGTGCTGCTCTGCTTGCACGCGCTCTGGTGGAGGAAAACACGTCTTCCTCCACAATGCCACAGGCTCCTCAACGCTATGGTGATGCTGCTGTGGCGCCTTCACGGGCATTAGTTGGGAGTGTGGCCGGCACGTCTGATTTGGCTTGCCGGGATGGTTTGCAAACTCACTGTCTGGCTGGTCAAGGGGGTGTTAACGGGAGCGTTGCTGGTCAAGGGGGTGTTAACGGGAGCGTTGCTGGTCAAGGGGGTGTTCACGGGAGCGTTGCTGGTGAAGGGGGTGTTAACGGGAGCGTTGCTGGTCAAGGGGGTGTTAACGGGAGCGTTGCTGGTCAAGAGAACGTTCTTGAGCAGATGATGAGGCTTGTGGGTGGCGGATATGGGGTTTTCAAGTCATGTGGAGGGCTTTTGCGACGCAGGGGTAGCGGTTTTATTGGGGAGGATAGAGGGATGTCGCGACAGCAAGAGAGGGAGGTTAGGCAAGGACCAAAGCAGGAGCAAGGCCAGGAGGAGAAGCAGCAGGAGGAGAAGCAGGCGCAGCAGGAGCTTGGGGAGCAGTATTCGGATTTGGTGCATCTGCAAGTGGTGCTTCAGCAGTGCGGGACAATCGCAGCTAAAAGAAGCTTGTTTCTTTGCTGCTCTCCTGCCCTCCCTGTAGCTGAACTTGTTGAGAGGGCCATCAATGAGCCACACTAGTACTTTTCCCTGTTTTCCATATCTGCTCCTTCCCAACTAAGGTTTGTGGTGCGAGATGAAGTTAACAATCTGGTTTTGCACTTTTCTGTGAAGCATTGGCTGGAGCCCCAGGGAGGGAGCAGTAGTAGGAACTAGAAAAGTGATATCTGGTGTGTAATAATATATTGGATAGTTCGAATAAAGATTTCCACCTGTGCGGATTATCAGAAAGGATGAAATCGGAGAGATTCTGCAAGAGCGCGGCGCGGCATTCCCCACCCCACATTTACCAATATTGGCATTTTTTTTCATTGGGGGTGTCACTCAGCACTTCACTTCGGTTTTGCATGGGTCATTACGGTCAACAGCGGTGAAGAACCTCAACCGTTTTAAACCGTGTGATAACCCACAGAACCAGGCTGGACGATCTGGTGGACGAAGACCCAAAACAACCTAGAGATCCTATATTTCAGTTCAACAGTCGATAGTTCCTTCATTCACTGAAAGATGCTTCTGGTTTCCAAGTCTCTCTGAGTTGCTGCTTCTCTGCCTGATTCTCCGCTGCGCGAGTGTGAACGCTGGAGTAAGGCTCCCTCGAAATTCACGACGGCCCAGCTCCCTGGAAGAATTTCAGAACGGGATTTGAACTGTCTTTTGTTACAGAGTGACGAACTCATTCTGTGTCAGATTCCGAATCTGAGGCTGCTGTATCTCACGTTGGCATCATGGCAGTCAAGTCCACCACTTCCACCTCGCCATTGCTAGTACCCTCGTCGCTGAACGAAGACTCTTTGGAATCCATGAGCAGCCAGCTAGCAGCGTGGTTTCTGGACCCCATTTGGACGGACAAAGCTCCTGACATGACGGTCACAATCGGCCCAAACGCGCTCTGCCAGCTAGACGGCACTGCAACCGTCGCGTTTCCTCCCGATGCCGTATTCAGCCTCGTGTGCGACCCCTACAATCGCCGCGTGTTCAGGAACATCAAATCGGTGTGGAACCACCACGTCGTGCGTGACTGTAACGGGGTGAAGGAGGTCGAGATGGACATGGCGTTTTCGTTTCAGCTGCCGTTCTTTACTGGCACGTTCGACGCACACATGCGCATGGTTCAGGACAGGCCTAACCGCACCATGAACTTCGCCCTGACTCGACCAGGCTTCATGCGGAAATTTGAAGGATTCTGGAGAGTCGAGCCTCTGCCTGTCCCTGCATCGTCTGCTACATCGTTACCAGACAATTCCAGCTTCCGCCGATGCGAATCTACAGAATCAAGCGATGGCATCACGAGCTTCGACGAAAGCAGCACTAGCAGCGACGAATCCGACGAAGCGCCAGACGTGAAGACGGGTACAGGCGGATCGAATCCGACTGCACCTGACGGATTTCGTCTGGCTTCCCGTCTGGTGCTCTGCCAAATTGTCCAGCCGTCAGTTGCACCGCCATCCATTTTCAAGCGGTGTCTTCACAGTCTCCTGCAGCTGGCCACGAGGGACGTGCTGCTGGTCTTCCAGCAGGAAGCTGCTCGTTTGAGAGCAGCGCGAGGGGAGGAGGTGAGGGAGGACGCGAAGAAGACGGGGGTTACGTCACTGACGTCTAGAATGTGGAGTATATTGAGTGTAAAAGCTTGATGGTCCAGCTTTGCTGTTGCTGCCGCTGTTACTGCTGGTATTTCACTGTAAAACCCATTGTATGCTTTCTTACACTCGGCCAATCTACACAGACTGTTACCTAGACACTATAATTCAGTACAACAGATGCTTATTCTAGTGTTTCAGGTATCAATAGTCTTGACTATTGAGGCGTTTGTTGAGTGTGATGCAGGTGTTGCTGTTGCTGATGATTGTTATGAGATGTACTAAGAGTGCGCGGAAGACTTTATAAAAAGGATGTCGAATCCAGGATCTCAAGAATGATAAAGAGGCATGCATTTATAGGGTCGAAACCGTGGTAGGCGAGGACCTCGGGACGTGGATGGGTTTGGAAGTGTCGCGATTGGTGCGGGGCGACTCGGGGGTGGTTCGGGCCGAAGTGTAGGCCAAACCTCGAAACTGACGCGAAGTGCTCGGGGTCGTCCTCGCTAGGAGCAGCCTCTACAGTAATAAATTCGTATTCATTACACTCTCCCACCTTCTAAATAAGGTGCCCTTATATGTAGGCGAGTCTTGCAGTAGCGTGAAAACTGCAGATCTCGGTCGAAAACCGATCTGACGGTGCGGAAGCATGTTGACTTTCGAGTTGACGCGTGGCTGAGCGCGTTGACCAGGCGAATTTCAAAGAGTTGGGATGTCAGCCGTTGGTACTGCCGATGTCGATCGGGCGGTTCGAAAGCGAATGTCGATTTGAAATCTTTCGACGAAGGAAGACCGTTGATGTCGCCGATGTGTATCGGATGGCTCTGATGAACGTCATGTCGGCAGGAAATCTGACGCGTTGTCAGAGATCGATGAATCTGGTGCCGTCGATGCCGATGAAGCCATCGCGTGCGTCCGTCGTGCTGGGTGTGTCGGACGAACTGTCAGAAATAACTGCCGAAATGTCAGAGACCTGCCAAGAACAGTGCGTGAGTACTCTTTCTCTCCCCCGTGGGAAGATAACTGCTGCCCACAAAATGTGCACAGCTGCACGGGCACAAAAACCACAACCACCCTGACGTAGAATACCAAGTATTATGGCCGTCCGCCTGAAATTCAGCCGCTGTGCAGTCGAAATTGCTGTCGGTGGCGAAATTTTCACTGTCGAAAATCCCGAAAATGTCAAGGGTAAATTCTGTTGAAGTCCCTTCGAAATAATATCGTTTTTGCAGGAACTCGGCATGAAGAATTTCTTCGTGTTGTCTTGTTGTCACGACTATTGCTGCAGCATCCCTCGTGACTGCCACCTCGAAAACCCCCGCGTGGCAGTATCGAATCACTTGACTGCTGCCCAATCTCCAGTTGGCAGCTGCTGCAATCCTGAAATTGCTGCCGTTTGTCTTGTTTGCAGGCGAAAATCCTCGCTGTAGCTTCTCAAGCTGTCGATGCACCCGGCCGTCTTGTCCAGGCTCGCCGAGGCCCTTGTCGCGTTGCTCCGAAAACTCCCGGGCAGGGACGAAAACAGCTGCTGCTCTTCCCCCTGACCTTGCCAATATTTTTTCAAACACGAACTTGAACTGCCGATGACGTCAACTGCATTATAGGTGTTGTCGTGACTCGCCGAAAACCTCCGGGCAGGGGCGAAAACAGCTGTCGCCTTCTCCCCCCCCACCTGTTGCAAAATTGTCCCTCGTGTTGCGGCTGGTACCCCCGAGCAGCTTCCGATTTGAACGGCTACACACTTTGACGACGAGTGCCTTCGCGCGCTTAATCAAGCAACACTGCAGTCGGCCGTCGGCACGGATACTGTCAGCGACAGCCCTGACTCCGTTAAAAAAAAACTATTTTCGGAACTGCTCGTTGCACCCGTAAATGTCGGAAATTTCCACACCACGTAAAGTCTTGGTCGCCTGCAGGTTGCCCCCCGAAAGAACCGGTGTGTCTAGCGTGCCCACCCGTCGCCATTTTTCTCTCCATGGTTAACCACACTAGCAACCCACCAACAGGAGGTGCTCTTTCGTGCGGAACCTGTCAGAATATTATAGCTTATGCTTTTCTGTAGGCTATAGTGGGGTATCCCATAGGGGGTACAACCCAATTAGGGTTAGTACTTGTACCCACTTCACTCATAGTTCATTTCATTCTCGTTCTATTCTTCTCATGGTATAGAGCAGGTTCCCCTGTGGGAACTGTGCTTAGGGCCCACCACTTCGAACCTTTTTTTTCCTGCCCGGAGCGCGCTCCGGGCTCTCTCTCTCGATCTGTCGACCTACCCTACGGCTCCTAGACGCCCGCGCGCCGCCCTCAGACGCCCGCGCGCCGCCCGTCCCGGCCCTTCGACGCCCGCGCGCCGCCCTTAGCCGCCCGCGCGCCGCCAGTCTCGGCCCCTAGACGCCCGCGCGCCGCCCATCCAGGCCCCACGCCGCCCGCGCGCCGCCCTTAGCCGCCCGCGCGCCGCCCGTCAGGCCCCGAGCCACCGTCGCGCCACCCTTAGGCGCTCGTGCGGCGCCCGTCCCGGCCCGTCGGCGCCGTGTGCCGCCCGTCAGGCCCCGCGCCACCCGTCGCGCCGCCCGTTCTGGCCCGTCGACGCCGTGCGCCGCCCGTCCCGGCCTCACGCCACCCGTGCGCCGCCCATCCCCGCCGCGCACAGCCATCCCGGCCCCTCGGCGCCCGTGCGCCGCCCGTCCTGGCCCCTCGCCACCGTCCCGGCCCCAAGCCACCCGTGCGTCGCTCGTCCCGGCCCCACTCCCAGCCGCCCGTGCGCCACCCGTCCCAGCCGTGCGCCGCCGTCCTGGCCCTGCACCGCCCGTGCGCCACCTGTCCCTGCCGCACGCCGCCGTCCCGGCCCCACGCCGCCCGTACGCCGCTGTGACACCCAACCGCCCGTGCCAACCGCGTCACCCGAGCCACCCGCGTCACCCGAGCCACCCGAGCCACCTGCGCCGCTGAGGAGCCGAGCCGCACAAGCCGCCTGTGCCGCTGAGTGCCCGAGCCGCCCGAGCCGCCCGAGTCGCCCGAGCCGCCCGAGCCGCCCGAGTCGCCCGAGCCGCCCGAGCCGCCCGAGTCGCCCGAGCCGCCCGAGCCGCCCGAGTCGCCTGAGGAGCCGAGCCGCTGGTCCCGCGGAGCTGCTGTTGCTGCTGGGCCGACCGAGGTGCTGTGTTGCCGTGTTGCTGTGCTGCTGAGCTGCCCGACCCGTCCTGTCTGGTGAGACCGTCGACTGCTGTCATGGCTACCCCCAGTGTCCTTGCTTTTGACGCTGAGGGCCGCGCCATTGACTTTGAGGTCTGGGTCGACGACCTGCAGCTGTTCTTGCAGTGCGATAGGGTAGACGACCTTTCTCTCTTTGACCTTACCTTTGGCGCCGTCCCTGCCCCTGCTGCTGATGCTGACCCCACTGTTCGCTCCAAGTGGTCCACACGCGATGCTGCTGCACGTCTTGCTGTGCGTTGCCACCTGCCTACCGCTGAGCGTGCACACTTTAGTCAGTACAAGAGTGCCCAGACCTTGTACGACGCTGTAGTTGCGCGCTACTCCTCCCCTGCCACTGCTGCACAGAGCCGCCTCATGCTCCCCTTCCTCTTCCCTGACCTTGCCGCCTTTCCCACTGTCGCTGATCTTATTACGCACCTCCGCACTAGTGACACCCGCTACCGCGCTGCGCTTCCTGCTGACTTCTGCGCCAAGAACCCTCCCCCCATGTACATCACTCTCTACTTTCTAGTCACTCGTCTCCCTGACTCCCTTCGTGTAGTCAGGGACCACTTCCTCGCGGTCTGTCCCGCCACTCTCACAGTCGACAGCCTTGAGAAGGCCGTCCTAGCGGCGGAGAAGAGCATCGTCGCTGTAGGAGCCTCTCGAGGTGACCCCCGCGCCCCCATCTTTGAGGGGTGTTCTCCTTCCCCTCTCTTGCCCTCTGTAGCCTCTACCGCTGCGGCCGACCTCGTTGGTCTTGAGTCGGTCGGTGCGGCGTCTGCCCCTAGCGGGAGACGCCGCTCTGGCAAGGGCAAGGGGGGCAAGGGAGCGGGTGGGGCCAGCGGGGGCGGTGGAGGTGGAGGCGGCGGAGGGAGTGGGGGTGGCGGTGGAGGTGGTGGCGGGGGTGGGGGTGCTAGTGGCGGCAGTGGAGGCGGAGGTGGCGGCGGCGGTGGCGGTGGGAGCGGAGGTGGCGGAGGCGGTGGCGGTGGAGGAGGAGGCGGGGGTGGCGGTGGTGGAGGTGGTCGGAGTGGCGCTTCGCAGCGGAGCAGCACTGGAGGTGGTCAGCGCCAGCAGCAGCAGCAGCAGCAGCGTTCTCGCGACGTCCCCACCCCTCAGCAGCTTTGTGAGTGGTACACGCAGCGTCAGCGGGGTGGGAGTTTTGGTCCTTGCACCTACGTTCTTCGCACTGGCGACCGCGCTGGAGAGCAGTGTGGGGGTACCCACTCCGCCCAGCGCTGCTTTGGCCGCCTGACGGACGCTTGGCGCCAGCAGTTCCCGGAGGCCGCGGAGATCCCCCGCTGGGGAGAGCTGTCTAGGGCTGGTGTAGCTATTTTTGATCTTGACTTTGATGCTATCCTTCTTGCTATGTATGCTGTGACCATTAGTGATGAGGGAGACTGTTACCGGTGTTTCCCGCCCGACCCGGGCATTGAGGCTGCTGCTCTAGGTGCTAGTGCGTCTGTGCTCTCAGGTACTGGTGAGGCTGCTCTCTCAGGTACAAGTGAGTCTGCGCTCTCAGGTACTGCGTCGACCTCTGCCTCCCACACCTTCACCCTTGACTCTGGAGCGTCTCGCTCCTTCTTTCGGGACCGCACCACACTCACGCCGCTTAGTCGGCCGGTTGCAGTGTCCCTGGATTACCCCTCTGGGGGTCCTGTCCTGTCTCACTTCTCCACAGTCCTTCCGTGTCCGGCGGCTCCCTCTGGCACCCTGTCTGGTCTCTACCTCCCCTCGTTCTCTACGAACTTGGTGAGTGGTGCTGACCTACGGGATGCAGGAGTCCACAAGTTCACCCCTGCTCGTCAGCGAGTGACGCACTGCACAGAGGCTAGCAGAGGTCGTCACCTGGCTACGTTTACACGTCAGCCAGGGTCGAGCCTGTACACACTGACCACTCCTTCTCCTCCAGTTCCTGAGTCTGGTAGGGTCCCTTCGTCAGGTCAGGTGTTTGCTGCAGCGTCCAGGTCTGGTCCTGAGTCTGCCCCCTGTTCGTGTCGTCGCCTGTCTCACGAGACTCTCCTCTGGCACCACCGCCTGGGTCACCCCTCTCTGTTTCGGCTCAGAGGCAAGGCCTTCCGTCTCCTTGTCTCTGGTCTCCCCAGGTCCCTCCCCCCCCTTCCTCAGGGCCCTGGCCCTGCCTGTGTCCCCTGTGTCGAGGGACGCCAGCGTGCTGCCCCTCACTCCTCCCAGTTTCCTCCGACAGAGGCTCCGTTGCAGACGCTTCACATGGACGTGTGGGGCCCTGCCCGCGTCCGTGGACAGGGTCACGAGCGCTACTTCCTGTTGGTGGTTGACGACTACTCGCGTTACACCGCGGTCTTCCCGTTGCGCAGCAAGGGTGATGTCACTGAGATGCTGATCGACTGGATCCGCGCAGCTCGTCTCCAGCTCAGGCAGAGCTTTGGCTCGGACTTTCCTGTGTTGCGTCTGCACTCGGACAGAGGCGGAGAGTTCTCCTCTGGCCTTTTGCGTGCCTACTGTCGTGCGCGAGGCATCCGTCAGACCTTCACGCTTCCGGACTCACCGCAGCAAAATGGGATTGCAGAGCGCCGCATTGGCATGGTCATGGACGTCGCTCGTACGTCTATGATGCATGCGGCTGCCCCCCATTTTCTGTGGCCGTTTGCGGTCAGGTACGCAGCGCATCACATCAACCTCCACCCCAGGGTCTCCAGGCCGGAGACCTCCCCAGCCCTGCTGTGGACGGGGAAGGTTGGCAATGCGTCCGCGTTCCAGGTCTGGGGATCTCGGGCGTTTGTCCGCGACTTGTCTGCGGACAAGCTGTCCCCTCGCGCTGCTCCCTGCGTCTTCCTGGGGTTCCCCCCCGACGCCCCTGGGTGGCAGTTCTACCACCCCACCTCTCGCCGTGTTCTGTCCTCCCAGGACGTCACGTTCGACGAGTCCGTCCCCTTCTACCGCCTCTTCCCCTACCGCACTCCTTCTCTCCCACCGCCACCGCACTTCCTTGTGCCAGGTCCCCCCCCGGTAGACCCCCTTCCCCCTCAGGGTCCTGCCCCTTCAGGTGTGTCCCAGGTAGATGCAGTCGAGCCGGTAGAGGTTGCTGGTGACTCAGGTACTACTGGGGGTGCTGAGCCTGGGGGTGCTGAGCCTGGGGGTGCTGACTCTGGGAGTGCTGAGTCTGGGGGTGCTGAGCCTGGGGGTGCTGAGCCTGGGGGTGCTGCCTCTGGGGGTGCTGAGCCTGGGGGTGCTGACTCTGAGGGTGCTGCGCGCGTGGGTGGTGAGCCTGGGGGTGCTGAGCCTGGGGGTGCTGTGTCTGGAGCTGGTGCCGAAGATGACCACTCTTTGGGTGCTGCTGCACATAGCCGCTCAGCGCGACTACGAGCTCCACTCTCTTGACTTCAGCACTGCTTTCTTGCAGGGTAGCCTGCACGAGGAGATCTGGCTGCGCCGTCCACCTGGCTTTACTGGGACTTTCCCTCTTGGCACCCAGTGGAGCCTCCGACGGCCAGTCTACGGTCTCCACCAGGCACCGGGTGAGTGGCACGACACACTGAGGACTACGCTTGCGGCTCTTGGGTTTTCTCCCTCTACTGCTGACCCGTCGTTGTTTCTGCGCACCGACACTTCTCTGCCGCCGTTCTACATCCTCGTGTACGTCGACGACTTGGTCTTTTCCACAGCGGACACTGCTGGACTCGCCTACGTGAAGTCCGAGCTGCAGAAGAGACACACGTGCACAGACCTGGGTGAACTGCGCAGCTACCTTGGCTTGCAGATCACTCGGGACAGAGCACGCCGCACCATTACCTTGACTCAGTCACACATGGAGCAGCAGGTCCTTCAGCGCTTCGGCTTCACGTACTCCTCGCCTCAGGCCACTCCTCTGCCTACTCGCCACTCGCTCTCAGCTCTGCCTTCGGATGAGTCCGTAGAGTCGAGTGGCCCGTACCCAGAGCTTGTTGGCTACCTCATGTACCTGATGACCTGCACTCGACCTGACCTTGCATACCCTCTTAGCATTCTCGCACGCTATGTTGCTCCTGGGAGACACCGACCAGAGCACATGGCTGCAGCGAAGAGGGTGTTGCGCTACTTGTGCAGTACGTCGGGCATGGGGCTAGTGCTTGGAGGGCGGAGTCCAGTGGTCCTCACTGGGCACGTGGACGCTTCTTGGGCTGACGACCAGGCTACGCAGCGGTCGTCGCAGGGTTACACCTTCAGTCTTGGTTCCGGCTCTGTTTCGTGGCGGGCTACTCGCTCGTCTTCTGTTCTCGGCTCCAGTTGTGAGGCTGAGATCTACGCCGAGGCCATGGCTGCTCAGGAGCTTCGCTGGCTCACCTACCTGCTGACTGACCTTGGAGAGCCGCCTCGTTCTCCTCCAGTGCTGTACGTAGACAACAAGGCCATGCTGGCCTTGTGTCGAGAGCAGCGCCTGGAGCACAGAACGAAGCACATTGCTTTTCGGTACTTTATTGCTCGTGAGCTGCAGCAGCGTGGTCAGTTGCGACTTGCGTACGTGGCCTCTGAGGCCAACACTGCTGATGTTTTCACCAAGGCACTTCCGCCTTGTGATCATCAGCGTTTCTGTACTCAGCTGGGACTTGTCCCAGTCTTGCCTCACTTGCTCACCTCTTGACCTTACTTGTACTCTTGCATATATATATACCTGCTCTTCCTTGTTTAGACTTATATATATATGTCTCCTCCTGCATGTGAACTGGCCTTGTGGCCTTGATCTTGTGCTCAGACTGTGTGGTGACGTTGTGATCCACCCTGAGCTTGCTTTGGTTTGCTTTGCTTGACTGGTCTTGTGACCCCTTGTTCTCCCCCACTTTTCCTATGGGGGTGTGTCATAATATTATAGCTTATGCTTTTGTGTAGGCTATAGTGGGGTATCCCATAGGGGGTACAACCCAATTAGGGTTAGTACTTGTACCCACTTCACTCATAGTTAATTTCATTCTCGTTCTATTCTTTTCAGAACCCGGAGTCATGGGTCTACCGGGACCGAATTTCACGGAACCTAGCCCGCATCGACGCCGCAGATCTCGCCGTAGAAGTTCCCCAGCTGGCTTCGAAGTACACTGTAAACCGCTGAAACAGCTGGCGAGCAGACGTTCAACCGTCTCCCACCGTTGGAATAAAACCCTGAAAATCATGGTTGTTGAAGCAGTCCCGAAGTATTTTCCGCCGCATAACCCCGACGTTTCCGCCGTTGACCCTGGTACTCCGACGTTCACCCGTCTTTGTACCCGTCGAAATTACTTAGCAAATCCTAGGTATCCTTGGCGATACACCGCTCGCTGCGCCTCCATGTAACAATATCAAACCCTTTCGGGGGTCTACCGAATAGACTCCGAAATTCGCGGTGGATTGGTGTACGAGCTTAACCTTTCACTCTGGAGATCTGCTGGAGCACCCACAAATTTCCCTCCATTTTTGTTTTTGGCTTCACCCCCCGACAATTTTGCTTGCCGCCGTTCACCCAGCGTCCGCTTTTGTCGGATGAGGTTTATCTCCGTGTTGCCCGCAATTTTTCTGACATTCGGTGAAGGCGCGAATGCAATCGTAGCCGGGTCATGTTTATCGGATCAAACAGTCGGTTCGGCCGCTTCGTTGCCCACCGCGTCTATCGCATTTAAAACTCCACAGCTTCGGAAAGCCCCTTCTTCGCCGCTACACCATGTCGGGTAGACCGTTGAATTAGGAGAAACTCTGACAGCTGCACCAACTGCTTCAGCTCCGACTTTTTTGGCGGGGTAACTGCCGCCGATGGTCCGGTTTTGTCGGGGCCGGGACAGTGTCGCTCCCAGAAATTTTCTTGTACGCCCTGCCGTCGAACCAGCGTCACCCGCGCCTTTCTAACCAGCACAGGGCTAAAACACAGTGCCCCACCTTTGGATCCAGTGGCCAATAGGACTTACACCTTGCCTTCGAGGCCTTCTGGGCGTGAGGTATGTGAAACGTTGGTAGACTTTGGTCGGTAGGGAGCTCCTTCTGCCACCGCCGCTTAGCCGCAAATCTCGGCCTCAGCAAAAAGTCGTCGCAGTAGGTCGTTTTCTCCCCTCCTGAAGCTCGGAATCCGTTTCTCTCGCCAGACCCGAATTTGTCGCAACTCCGTTTATTGTAGCCGGTAGACCTGGCGAAATTCGCGGGTCTAGTCGCTGCGGCAAACCGTTGTCCTCGTCGGTGTACTGCCCCGTCTGCGACACAACTTCCCTTGATCAGGGGGAATCTGTGCCGCCTGAAGTACAGTGTCGGTTGCTGCTGTTGCTCCGAAGATTTCCGCCGACTTTGTTGCAGGCGCAGAAGTGACCCTAACGAAAACAGTCTAGTCGTACGCGGCTTTTTCCGAACTTTTCGGCGGTTTGAAAATAACTTCCGTCCCACACTGTGCCGCTCCTGCCGAAAACGCCAACGACGCACCCTCCTGTAGCCACACCGGCCACACCCGGACTGGAACGACGGTAGACCCCCGCTTTCTTCGGGTAGTTGTCACGCCGTCACTCCGCGCCGCTGCATTTTCTGACGCAAATCACCATGCGCCTGGCTGCTCGCACAGCAGTCGTTTTCCACGTGCTGCTACCCGAAATCTTCGTGCACAGTGACCACGATCGTCACTTGTCGAAGACCTCCAACGGACTGATGCGCGATGTGACGAAGATGCTCGACGCCACGTGCTGCATGCAATCCGTTCCGAAATTGTCGCGCGCATTTGTCGACCACATGCCGACGCAACTCGCACGACGATCTTGCTTCCGGTATCTTCGGACGTGCACTGACAGAGATCCTGTCGACGTCAGCTGCCACACAAATTAACTCCGAAAATGCCGAAACGAATACGGTTAACTCACGCATTAACTGCGACGACAGCAAAAGCTGTCCGCCATCCGGGGGGAGGGAGGCCACGGTCCATCTCGACCGTCGAGGGCAAGGATCCGTCGGTGCAGCAGGAGCGCCCGTAAAAACATGGCCGCTAGGAGCAACTATCCGTTCTCCTGGCCGGCTACTGCGTTGCTCCTGTCACCACGGCATCCTTCCCTGTCCCCCCCCCGAGGGGTAATACACTCTAAACAACGGGGAACCTAGGAACTTAGGCTCTGATACCAGGTGTTATGAGATGTACTTGTTGGAAACAATAAGTCCTAAGTGCGCTTCTGTCGTATCAAAATCCAAGGTACCAAGCGAAGCAGTCCCAATCGAAGCATCGAGTCAACCTCGGAGGTTAGGGTAACCGCCTGGAGGTTACGAGAAAGTCAAAGGTCGCTGACCTTTGACTCGACAATTACAGCACGACAGTTAAGGACACACAACTGACTCGTTACAGAGCAGTTGCCCGAGTCGCGCTATATCGAACCGCAACAGCAATACAGTTATCTATTCCCTGTACTCTTATATAAATCCTTGTATTTGCTTGTTTAATTCAATCAACTTTGCTCTCACACACCAGTGCAAGGTCGGTTCAAATTCTTCACTAAACGCTTCCGCTGTTACAACAACTTCACCTAGAGTTATCCCTTGCAAAGATCCTAAGGGGCTATCTCAGCCCAACATGGTATGAGAGCAGACAAGGGAAACTCTACTCTTTTTTCAATATCATTACAAGACATGGCAACAAACAAGGAAAGGAGCTCCCCTAATGGCTCCTCGGGCACTACTCCTACTCCACCGTCAGCCTCTGGCCTGCAGACAGAAGAAGGCACGGCAACAAGACCAAGAGGAACGTCAACCGAGACCCCCATGAACCACCCTTCGGACTTTGACCAGAACATGATGGAGAAATTTTTCTCCTTCATGTCCTTCTACGAACAACACCAGCAGTCGGGACCTGCACAAACACACAACAGCAACAACGGAGCGACACCCATGAGTCTTGATGGGTCGTCATATGCGCGAGGAAACCAGCAGCAGCAACCTACCTTTGCTCCGTACGAGCGCGGGTCAATCAGCTTCGTGCCCCACCCGCAACCTTCACCTGGACAAGAAAGACCACTGGACGCACTTCAAGTTCAGTCGCAGTTTGCACACGTCTTAAAACTGCAAACGTCAAGACCCTTCGACGGCAAAGACTTCTTTACCTGGTCCTTTGAATTCGAGCTGATGATGGAGGGCGCGCAGATACTCGGCTTCTTCGACGGGTCCCTGCAGTATCCAGCCAACGGGACACAACATGAAAAGCAGCAGTATACGTATCAATCAATGATGGCGTATACAATCCTATTGAGGAATGTGACACCAACTCAGCAGCAGAACATTCGCTCTTACCGGACCTTCGGCAACTCGGCGGAGCTCGCGTACAGCCATCTGAAGAACCTGTATCAAGCAACAGACAGTGTAAACCAGAGCAGGTTAATGGCGCAGTTGACGACAGTCGAAATGAAACCAGGAGAAAAAGGACTGGCGTATATCAGCCGATGTCGCGAACTGCGCGACAAGCTGCTTCGATGCGGAGGGTCAATCTCTGAAGACGCCTTCGTGACAGTCATCATTGGTGGGCTTGGTCCTCAGTGGCGCGCCACCAAAGCCATTCTTCGAGCCCACGGAAGAATCTCTGAAGCTGCACTCTGCGCCGAAATACATGCCGAGCAGCAAGATATGGACCTGCAGGAAGAACGACACAGGAAGAAAACGACAGTATCAGAGTTCGCATTCCACACTCAACGACGACACAGCAATTATAACAACCGACAGCAGCAACCGAAGATAGTAACTCCCTTCTGCCACATCTGCAAGACTTCAGGGCACCCGCGCACACACTGCCCGAATCGTCAGCAATCAACGGCACCACAGCGACAACTTCGACCTTCAAGCTCCCAAATGGCTTCAACACAAGCAAGTGCGACGACCACTATTCAAGCTTCAACGACTTCACCCGGACAACCTGCACAAGGAGCAAGAAATATAATCAACTGCATGACGAAGATAACCGATTCATGTACAACCGAATCACCACCACACTACTCACCGGAAGAAGAGCTTGACAACAGAACGCCTCGCCGTGAGCTACTCCAGCCGAATCCAACGTACGCCGCCATCGCTCAAAGTGAACCGTCCGGCCAAGACACCTGGTTCTTGGACAGTTGCTGCGGGCAACACATGTGCTCGTCCGGGCGTTTCGTACAACGCGAACATCGACTCCAACGGGAAGTGATCATCACGGTTGCCAACAACCAAAACCTGCGCACACGAAGACAAGGAGTGGTACAGCTTCAGTCAAGAGAAACAAATGTCATACTGCACATGTCTAAGGTACTCATCGCTGAAGGACTCGGCTACAACTTACTGAGCGTTAGCCAGTTGATGGCGAAAGGAATTCATCTGGAAGCCGACAGCACGACCCAGGAGTTCAAACTTTACCACGGGAGAGGCGGTCTCTACATCGGGAAAGCAGTGCTGAAGAACAACGTCTTCGTCCTCGACTTCGTTCCTGACCTGGGCACTGCAGACAGCGACGCCATCGTGAATTTCACTGACTGGACACACCCTCCGGATCTCGACCCCGACTTCAGCCCAGGAGGCTTCTGGTACTCGCACACCATTCCTGAAGCAGAACGAACACGAGCATTAGCAACAATTCGACAATCGGCAGCAGTAACAACATCGGCAGCAGCAACAACATCAGCAGCAGTAACAACATCGGCAGCAGCAACAACATCAGCAGCAGTAACAACATCGGCAGCAGCAACAACATCAGCAGCAGCAGGAACAACGACACCAGTCACGGTCGACGAAGCACCACCAACACCCGCGAAACAGCTGAATCCGACTCAACGTGAAGTCCACCGAAGCGCCAACCTCGTCG